GAGCCTAATCACAACCACCTGGCCCCAATTATCTTCTGTATCTCCGTAGCTGCTATCAGCGCTTATCTGCCCATCTTTGCCTGGTGTCTGGGAACACCTCCCTTAGCTCCTCCCCACTGCTCCAGGGCCTGACGTCAGGGACAAACTCCCTTTGGCTTTCACTGCTGCTCCATGCCTGAGGAGACTCTTAGTGGCCAACCAGCCTCTCTGGTCCGTGCTCGGAGTCTGAACCCTGTCCAGGGTCCTCCACATCTTCCAGAGCCGACTCAAAGGGTCCCTTGCTATTGGAGTCTGTTTGCAGCTCCAACAGCTCCTTCTGGGCCACAACAGCCAGTTATCAGCTGCCTTCAGAGTCATTGAGGCAGACGAACAGCTGGAGCCTGTTCCCAGTGTGCGCATGCGCAGATTAAAGAACCAATTCTACTTTATTGTAAGGTGACATTAATCTTGAGAATCAAAGATGAAAATGAAATATTTGGTCTGCACCTTAACATCAAGAAAACAAAGATAACGACAACTGCAGACAACACACCGGGCAGAGTGCGGATCAACAATGAGACCATAGAAACAGTAAAGGAACTATCTTCCTGAGCTCTAAAATCAACCAACATGATGACTGCAGACCTGAGGTCAGAAGGCATATAGCACTTAGAAGCACTGCCGTGTCTGGCATGAATAACATCTGGAAGAGTAAAGGCATCAGCCTCCCAACCAATGCAGGTTAGTTAACACAATAATTTTTCCCCCAATTGCTATTTATGGCTGCTAAACATGGACTCTAAAAAAGGCAGATAGGAGAAGGGTGGACGCCTTCGAGCTGTGCTGAAGGCAACTCATACGGATCCCAAGGACTGCAAAAATCACAAAGACTGAACATCACCCCCCAAAAAATAATCAAAAATACACTTGAAGCCAAGATTGCCAAACCGAGGATGTCATACTTTGGACATGTCATGAAAGCTGACTTACTCAAAATGTAAATCAATGTGAGAACGATGAGTGGAAAAATGTGAAGGAAGGTGTTAAAAATTCTGTTTATATAAAGCACCACACAGAACAAACAAAGAGTACAGTCACCATGTGCTTTACTGCTCAACTATTTTTCTGTAACAGTAAACCACGCCCCCCCCACTCCCGAGGCCAACCACAAGCCTGATGCGGGCCTCAATGAAATAAGAGTTTGACACCCCTGATTTAGGGTAGCCTCAATCTCCATTTAAATACAAGTGTCAGTAGAAAGCTTTGCACTTACCTGGCCATTTGCTTATATGCTTCTTCTGCAACTGCGAAAATATGAGGATCCATATCCCCCATGTTTTGGCCACTGTAGGCGTAGATGACATCTTGTCCATAAATTGGCAATTGTTCATAAGGATTTATGGCAACAAGCACGATACCTTAAAAACAACGAGAATGCAAACACTAAAAATGATGCAAAAACAAGAGAGGCACAAACACCCACAAGTGGAGTAGTTTAAATATGACTAACTGGTCATTTCATAGTGTAAACAGGCTTTTTTTTAATTGTGCATCCATTTACAAGCTCATTGCAGCCTGTTATTTAAATAAATAAGCAAGCAAGCAGAAGCACTTGCTCCTACTTTTTGTTTTAGATGTTCAGCATGTTTGAAGATCTTCCAAATTAAAATTCAACTGCTACAAGTTTCCTAAGATGGCAAAGTTCTGTCTCAACCAGAGACGGGCGGGCGGACAGACAGACAGAGGTAGTGTTGTGGCCCGCTGGCAGCCAGTGGAGCTGGCAGCAGAGTCAGACAGTGAGGAGATTGGGGAGGAACGTGGGCCAGTCCTGGGGGCTGAGGAAANAAAGGTAAGAAGACAATATTTCTTCAGATGTAGTTACACCTAGTAGCAGTTCTAGCTAGCATAACGAATAATAAGAGATGCTGGGAATTTTAGTTAGTTTAGTACATCAGCAATATGTTGAACCAGACTTATTTTGCAATTTGTTGCAAGTCAGTGAGAGAACTTAGAAGAATCTGATCTGCATTCTGTAATTCTCTTGGAGAGAAATATTTTCTTACCTGCTATATGAACATTGTTATAGAAGCAGTGGTAGGATTCAGCCAGTTCACACCACTTTGGAAGAACCAGTTGTTACATTTCTGAGCAATTTGGTGAACTGGTTGTTGGAAGAAATCATTAGGGCAGAGAACCAGTTGTTAAATTATTTGAATCCCATCACTGTATAGAAGGTATCAGATTATACTGGGATGTTGACAAGCAAAGCAGTTGTCCTGCTCCTGGACCCTGTCCAGCCCAGATTTATATTTTATTGGGGGAGAGAAAACCACTCTTAAAATAAGGACCTCATTTTATTTACAAAAGCACATCCTTTTTTCAATTATATGCTTCAACCTAGGTGTTGGCTAGCAAAGTTTCTGAGCTCCAATCAAAGTACAATGCACTGAAGGAAAGAAACTTAGATCTGATTAATTACATTGATAATAAAGAAGCCGTCACAAGTCAACGTGTAAGTATTACGCACTTCTTTTTCTCAAAATCCTCTCCCCCCCTCCCTTTTCTTCCAGCATTCAGGCCAGAGTGAGAATGGAGAAATATTGTTTTCATTTACTGTAAAGTGCAACTTTGCAGCTCAACAGGGCAACATTCCTCACACAGAAGGATGGGTAGCATATACTGGCAGTTCTATCATTATTATTTTTTTGTTACTACTATTGATTGTTGGGGAGGAAACAAGAATGGAAAAATCTACTGAAGGAGTAATGGACACTATGTTCAATTGTTACCATTAGTGTACAGAAATAGGTAGTGCATAAATCAAGGTCAGGATCCCTAAGAAAGGAAGCAGAAGAATCAAAATAAAATGGAAAAAGAAAATCACCCAATCATTTGTTGAAGGGTGGGATTATAAACAAATCAAGTGTAAATTAGCTGAAAACTAGCTTCAATGATATTGATCTCAGGAATAACTACACAGTTCCTGAAAAAAGGCAGGATATATACATTTAACAAACAAATAAAAATAGCTTCTTAGGACAGTAAACAGATGGGAGAAACAGATCAGGCTAAGTGAAAATTTGTGGGGACCAGATGGAGAATTTCAGGGGGTAGGAGAAGAAGTAGCCCAGCCCAGAGGTAGGGACTATGAGAAGGGAAAAAAATACTGCCTTACTTAATTTTATAATATGACTGGGAATTTCTTTTTGGAAATTTCAGCTTTATGTTTCAGCTGACTAGCATTAAAATGTTCTCCTAGAATCTGTGTGATTCTTGCTTCTTGAGTTTGCCACCTGTGTTGGGTTTCAAAAGCTGCTAGCATTTCCAAGAACTAAGCAGAAGTGAAAGTCAGCTAGAACTGTTCTTAAGATGTAGCATAACCTAGGGCAGTGATGGGCAACCTTTTTGGCGTGGTGTGTCAAAAATCGGCAAAAAATCGAGCATAACTCAAGAA